GGGGGGGAGGAAGAACGTATTCACAGAGCAAATGATCAAAATGGTTTAAAATGAAAGAGGGTGTAGTTTCGCTTATATACTGACCAACCCTTGTAAGACCTTTGTAAGGGGGCTCCTTGGAAAATGGTGGGGATATGACCCTGATGATGGTAACGTTGCGACGCGCCGGGGACATGCGTTTGTCTCCTTATTTTCAAAATGTTTATGGGACGATACGTTTACATAATTAACATAAACATGATCACGAACGCGCAAGAAAATCAGTTTGATATTCATAATCGTTGTAATTGGTTGTATATAAACAGGGTCTATCTCAACACGGGAGACACATGAATATTCGCATTCGCGAAAATAACAATTGAACGCGTTCGGGCAAAAGATAGCCGAGTATCTATTTCTTCTCGAGGCTCGATTTTCTCAAAAAACAAAACATCGAATGTTATTCGTTTTCTTTTTTTCTATTTATTTTTGTATACACAGAATCCACCCGTACGCCGTATTGTATTACTCGTCCTGAGGCAATCTATAATGTGATAAACAGCTGAAATAAATACTAGAATAAATTTTCGTATAATAGTTTCAGACTGTACCGTTGAAAAATATATGTTTTTATTCATTGACTTTAGAGAGGAATCAACAACAATGGTATTAGAATTAAGAAACGTTTCAAATCAAGAGACAATATAAACAATAGAAACAATATAATACTGAAAGGCTTGTCAAGGCCTGAAAAATCAAATTTAATCATAGTTCTAAGTATAGTAATTAGACTTGTCATGGCAATGTAAATTATGAATCCTAGCAATCGTACTCGTAGCCAGGATTTCAAAAAATTATCAGTTCACAGTGTTGGCGCACTAAAAATCTTCTCCTTCAGATTCTACGTCAGAGGCGGCGAAGTTTCCTTTAGAACTATTCGTTTATCAAAGGGTTAAGCGTTTCGAACGTTCGGTAGCTGGACAGCCCTTGGATGTCAATGGTATGGATAGGGTTATTCTGAATAACTCTTTCGTCGACCTTTCTTCGACAATCCTTTCGACAATCCTTCGATATTTGTTTTTGCCACGGTTTTACATGATTTATTAACAGCAACCTTGAAAGGAAATCGCGCGGAAATTGCGTGAAGTGTTCATAAATTATCTGGTGAAAGCGTTGCGGCAACGAAAGCGAAATTTTCTTGAAATTTTTATACCAAAAAGTAATGGAGGAACGTTGTGTTTTGCATCTCGATAATGTTTGTCAATGTGTTTCATATGTGCGACGGCTTTCAGTCTTCGGTTCTCTGTTGGCTCTCGTTAGGATTGGACAACATATGGCAATTTTTGTAGCGTGCCGCCGGAAGATCGACCCACTCCTTTCTTCGACTCTTGCTGATTAATGATTCAGCTTCGCCACCGACTACGTAAGTTCATTAGTTTCGTTGCCTTTAACTCTCTAAGACCCCCGTGTCACTTCTTTGTTCAGCAGGTTCCTTTGTCTCCTTTTCTTTTTCTTTATTTTTAGTGGAACAGGATTCTCTGGAGACAGCATTGAAATCTTATGACTTACATTCTCAATGTTAAACTAAGTTTTCTGTCTTCGATTTATGTAACTTTGTCGTCGGGTTAATTGAAAGATGTCGACTGCTCTTCTCTTCTAGTCCAGAATTCACGAGAAGAAATTCGTGGAAGGAGTGTGAGAAAAATAGGGAAGAAATGATGGGCCAACGAAGGTGTCCAGTTATATTCGATATAGTATAGACGTCTCATTATGTCTTGGTCCCAAGATCACGCCAAATTTAGTCTTCCGTTTCATAGCTCCGTTAAAATGGCGCGCCGTCTATAGAAAAGCACCCTGACGCTCAATTCACCGCACCGCCTCCTTTCTCGTATACAAATTTTTGCTCTTTTGGCCACATAACCCACATTTCTATGGTGCTGGGACAGCCGCAACCCGTTATTTGCGATTTTTCCCGTGGCCGTCATCCAACGACAGATGAATGGATCCACGTATTTGCATCTGCTCCTACCGCACCGAAACGTGCATATACAACACGACGTAACGGTACATCCTCGATGGAAAATCCTCGCGACGATTCGATGTGGAAAATGTCTCAATTCACCGGCATCGTTAACGTATTTTTTTTAAATTGTCCCGCTGCGCTGTGAGAAATCAGTTTATCTTCTTCACGCATGCAGCATCGAACGAACAGAGGGAATGAGATATAAATTTAAATGTAAATATGTGTTAAATATAAATGTAAATATGTGTTAAAAATCGCCGTGACTTTTACACGGATTTCTCACAGTTATGGGAACCACGGTGTTTCCTAATGATAATAGTTTCTCAGAATCGGATTTACGTAATGTCCTTCGTTGAATAATATCAGAGATATTCCTTGGTATATAAATGTTTGTTCCGTGTTAAATAGCTTTAACCTTGAAACGTTAATTTATTATACAAGACGTATCCTGACGATTTGTATAATAGAGTGTATACAGAGGATTGTTTCTCCTCTGGGAATGACCAATAATTGCAAATATCATCAGTTTCCTTTGATTCGATACGTAATCGAAAGAATTACTACCGTAGAATTTTCAATGCATGTTCAGCATGTTCTATAAAAATTTTTTTATAGAAATTTCATATATTTTACTAGACTAAGCTAGAAGAGCGACAATGCACATTGTGTGGCATTGCAGATTGCCGCGTATTAAACGGGAACACTGACAATAGTAACAACTGCAACTAAAAGGTATTACGGCCATACGAAGGTAGATACCTTCCCTTAGGGATAATAACCAAGTATTATTATCTTGTAATGCAAATGCGATGTACAAACAAAGACATAAGTGTCTTCAGAACTCGAACAGTAAGCATTGCCTCTTCATTTTTCATTTATCATAGCAGTGCTAATTCATTATACATAGGAGATACAATAAATACATAGGAGAGATTATTCATTATACATAGGAGAGAATGAATTATACGTTGAATATTATTAAAAAATCTTGCTTTGCTTTGCAACGAATTATTTCCCAACTTTACCTCGTTACCAGAGGGAAGGAAATCTTAAATTATTAAAAAATTTCCGAGCAGAAAGAGGTCTACCAAACTCCTGGTAGGAACGGACATCGTCCTTTTGATAGAATTCGCCACCTGTCCAAAGCGTTTTCTAGAAGAAAAAAAGAAGAAGAACGGGGCATTAAGATGTGTTCGAGGTGAAAGTCGTTCACAGTAATTATTTCTCAATTTATCTTGCGATCGGACCACCGACCAAGTTTTGCCAACAGACTTAGAGCTTTGCTTCCAGTTCTTGCGTTACGCTTTCTTCTCCCACGGGAACCCTTTCCTTTCCACGGAAACTTTCGCATTTCGTTGCATTTACTGCGTCGCAAGACACGACCTTGGTCGTTCCTCGACTGAGTAGTAGCTTATTCAGTAATGGTCCGGATGAATAGCTTTTGATATCAACATCTTAGCGATACGTCTTCTATACAGATTACCAAAATGTGAGAAAATGCCTGGAACAGGTGACTTGTTGATGGAGACTAAATAACTTTTGTCACAGAAGTAGGAATTTGTCAATTTTTTAATCCGAATTGCTCAAAAAAAAAAAAAAAAAAAAAAAAAATGAGCAATATTTCTCCAATTTCGCATAAATATCTCATTCGTCGGTCGGATTTCGTTTTCTTTCAGAACAGAAAATAGAAGTAGCCCCAAGCATCCATGGACAAAAACTTTTGAAAACAGATCGCTCGGTGTCCAATTACCAAGCCATATAGAGTAAAGAGTTGAAAATCTCTCTCTTTTTAAAAAGAAAAAAAAGGTCAAAAGCATTTGCTATTTGTTTGAGAAGCTTTTGAAATACAATTTGTATATTTCTGCGCTTCTACTTCAGTTTGTTGTTCATTTCGAGCAATTCCTTCTCTCGTTTCACCTTCTGTCAGAAAGCAAAAACTTTCTCGTCATTTTGTTCAGGTCTCAGGTTTTAAAAATCGACCTAGATTAAAATAACAGGTCTCCAAGACAGCAGGAATTATGTGTGAAAAAAAAATAAATAAATTTCTCAGGGCCAAACATACTCGACAAAGAAACTATGATTATTATGGGAAAATGAAAGAAATAGTCCTTTGAGGGAGAATTTGTAGGAGGACAAGGAATAGCCATAAATAGTAATATATAATTCTATTATGTATTCAAGTTAGTAACATGCAATAAAAATTTTGGAAACTCCTCACATAAAATCGTCAAAGGTCAATAATTATTTACTTTTATTCCATTCATTTTCTTAGAATTACTTTACAACAAAGCAGGAGGAAGAGGTTCGGTACAAAATTTAACGATAGCATAACGGATTAACTCTGAAAAAGGTTTGTCAACAACGACTATTTAACCATTTTTGCCCAGAATATCTGCTTCAGGTTTCCTTGCACAATAGTTTCCCACATTTTTTACAATAGCTTTCGAATATTACACAACGGTGTTTTATTGATTTTTAAAATATACAATTTGATTTATTGAACAAAATTTGCAGTTTTATGACTGAATTAAGCGTGGACTGTCTTGAACGTACTGTCTGTTTTT